TTTGCAGAAAAATAAAGGGAAAAGGCCCCTAACGGTAGTGGCCGCCGCCGGAGATGTTTCGGCCGCCGGAACAACTTATCTGATCGCAGGAGCTGCTGCAGTGGCGTTGCTCGGAACTGCTTTCCCTATCCTTTTCTCCCGCAAGGACTTGTAAGGAATTTTTATTAATTATTTTTGTTTTTTTTTTGGTAGTTGCCTAGGCGTTTTGTTTTTCGAGTTTGTGCTTGTTTGATAAACGAGCTGAGCCGAATAATGAGCAAAAAGCTCAACTCTAGCCCGACTTTATGTTCATGAAAATCTCGGCTCGGCTCGTATTGTTTAATAACCTTAAATCCCACCTAAAGATCTTCGTGAATGTGAAATGTTTGTTTGCAAATTAATTGATCAGTTTGACGATTGTGAAAAAAAAAATGAGGTGTTCGTGACCAAGATTGGGGCTTGATTGGTTGTTTGAGCTCGATTCGTTCAAGTAAATGAACGAGTCGAACTGAATTGTGTTCGAGTTTGTGCTCATTTAACAAACGGCTCACCTAACCTTGTTTTGTTTAATCGACCGATATATATCTAAACTAGATGTCTGTTAATGTGAAATGTTCATTTGCGAACAAGTTTGTTTGACTGATTTATTTATTATAAATCCAAAAAGAATAAACTAAAACGAAAAAACTAGTCGTCGTTAACTAATTGTGGTATCAACTAGCTATTCGAACTCGACTTGTTCAAGCAGACGAATTAACTGAATTGAATTGTGTTCGTGAATAACTCAGTTCGAATAACATCTTGTTGCTTATTTCATCTTGCGTATTTGTTTAATTAGGTGCCCCGAATGTGATGGGGCCGGATTTGTAAGGAAATCCGGGTCGGCTTTGAGGGCAAATGCGGCAAGAAAAGACCAGGCACAGATCGTGTGTCCACGGTGCAATGGTCTCGGCAAGCTCGGCCAAATTGACAAATAGAGAAAAATTGCGTGCCGCTTGTGTTATTTTTTTCTTGTGCAAATGTCAAATTATTGAACTATATATATGTGAAATGTATACGATTTATGAGCGATTTATGATGAAAAATATTTAAATTATGTTAATGTGCCATGGCATGATGAGTTTGGCTTTGTCAATATTTTTCATGATATTCGAGTTTGAGCTTATTACTAAAATTAGTGAATTGAATTTGAACCTTATTAACAAGCTAGACTATAGAAAATTATATGAAAGTGATCTATAGTCCTAAGCTTTAAGCGAGGACGGGTTCTAAACGTCAGTCCGACTCGTTTAGTTTAACAACTCTAATGATGATTCAATGAGAATGAGATGAATAGTTTAATTCTCTCTCTATATATACATATTTTTGGTTTATATTAGGTCCAAAACTGTAAGTATTTTGTTATATTGTATTAGGTCCAAAACAGTATAAGTATTTTCTCCCCAAACAAATGGCTGTATATTTATTTATTTATTTATTTAATTTCCCATTGCTTGGATGTAAATCACTTGAAATTTAAAATATGCCAAACTTCTGCATGTATATATTTTCCTATCTAAATTTAATTACTTGCATATTTGGGAACCTAAAGATTGACAACTCCATAGCTACCAAATTCACCTTCTCATCTGTTCCTCTTCAAACTACGTGTCACACATGAAATATATTACTTTTTTTTGTTTATTTTTTTAATACTTATGTCCCAAGTTATATATATTCTTAATTAGTTGAAAAGCTTCTAATTATTTTGTTTAGTAATTACAAAAAATCACCTAAGGTTGAATTTGAGGATTACAAATATTTTATTGAACTGTCATTATCAAGTATCAACACATGCATCATCTACAAGGTCATTTTTCTTTGAGATTTGAATTTAATATTTGTATATTTAAATTCAAAATTATAAATATATAGTATTTTGTATGTCAAAATTATATGAATTTTCGAAGCCAAAAACTCGATTTAAATTTATTGAATATTCCATTAGTTAACAATATATGAATAAAAAATTTAATATATTATGTAAAACACAATTTTTTTTTTTAAAAAAAAACTAATATATTTCTTGGGGTGGGTACTGAGAGTCAATATTATTAAATTATTATTTTTTTTTAAAAAAATAAAATAGGGGGAAAAAAAGGTAGGAATAGTGAAATGGGTCAAAACAGCACTAGAATGTCTTTGACACCACTCCAATGTTGTTCTCCAGCAACATTTGGCCCATTAAAATATAATTTCCTACTTCATTTAATTATATTTCCAAAATCCCATTATTTTAAACCCAACCCTGAAAATTATTCAATCCTCATCACCTAATCAACCAAACACTTCAAGCTCCCCTTATAAATGGCATTGTTCTAACAATACCACTCATCATCGTCATCATCAACAATCTTCTCAAAAAATATTCTACCTTTCCCCCTAAAAAAGATTGAAAAAAAAAAAACCACACACACACAAGAAAATGTGTGGTGCCTCTCCATTAATGGGTTCTATAGTCTTGTTTGTGGCATTAACCTCTCTTTGCCTACTTCCACACCATGCACAAGCCGTTACACGACGCTACGAATTCAATGTACGTCGTTTTTATCTCATCCGTGTCGATTTTTCGTACTTGTTTTAGTCCACATTTGTCCCTTCGTATATATCTATCATACATTCTTGCAGATCACGATGCAAAAAGTTACTCGATTGTGCCACACGAAGAGCATAGTAACCGTGAACGGGAAGTTCCCGGGACCTCGAATTGTCGCACGGGAGGGCGACCGTTTGCTTATAAAAGTCACGAATCACGTCCCCAACAACATTACCCTCCATTGGTACGTAGTAGTTAACTCGTAAAACCAATTTCTTGCTTTTAAAAAAAGTTAAAAACACGACAAACATAAAGTTTACCATAATAACACGTGTCAGTCACGATTATGTTTTACTTTACACATCACATCAATTTTTTGTTATACAACAGGCATGGAATTAAGCAGCTTCGTAGCGGATGGGCTGATGGCCCCGCGTACGTGACCCAATGCCCGATCCAAACCGGACATAGCTACGTGTACGACTTCACCATAGTGGGCCAACGTGGAACCCTTTTCTGGCACGCGCACATCTCGTGGCTCAGGTCGACACTCTACGGGCCCATCATCATCCTCCCGAAAAAGGACGTACCTTACCCTTTCGAGAAACCTTTCGACGAAGTCCCAATCATATTTGGTAACCAAAGCAACTAACTTTTCAATTTTATTTTCATAAATTACACTAAAAGATGCGTTGCTTTTTTTTTTCTTTTCGTGTAGGGGAATGGTTCAATGCCGATACCGAGGCAATCATCAGCCAGGCCTTGCGAACCGGTGGAGGCCCGAACGTGTCAGATGCTTACACCATAAACGGGCTTCCCGGGCCACTTTACAATTGCTCTTCCAAGGATACATTCCGGTTGAAGGTGAAGCCCGGGAAAACATACCTACTTCGCGTGATCAACGCTGCTCTCAACGACGAGCTTTTCTTTAGTGTGGCCAACCACACCCT